ATTTGAAAAGTATCAAAATTTCTATGTTATCTGAAGACTTCAAAGTGAATGAACCTAAGAAATTGAAAGTAAAAAAAAGAACAAGTACGGAATTTGCAGAAACACTTTATCTTTAAGCATAAGGTAAAGGGGAAGAAAAAGTGGCATTACATCATAATATAGGAGTTAGTTCTCCAAGAGGACAATTTTTAATGTGCATGTGCCTTACAACAGATCATCAAACTATGTGACACCAAACCTAATAGAACTTCAAGGAGAAATAAAAGAATCCACAATCAAAACTGGAGATTTCAATACCCTCCATCAAAAATGGACCAATACAGCAGACAGAAAACCATAGACATAGTTAAACTCAATAACATGATCTGGATATAACAGAAATCTACAGACCATTTCTTCCAACAACAACAAAATAGCCATTCTTTTCAAACTCACGTAAAAATAAAATCATTAAGACCACAGTCGGAGCCATATAACACACTTTAGCAAAATTAAAATAATAGAAATGATACAATATGTGCTCAGACCATAAAAGAAATAAATTAGAAATTGGTAACACAGCAATAACTATGAGACCCCAAATAGGGTGGGATTAAACAAGACACCCCAGCACATGGGTTAAAAAAAAAACCTGAAGAGAAACTAAAAGTATTTTTAACTAAATCAAAGTGAAAATGGGGCTGACCAGTTAGCTGACTTGGTTAGAGCACAACCTTGTAACACCAAGTTCAAGGATTTAAATTCCTATACTGGCCAGCCACCAGGAAAAAAAAAAAAAAAGTGAAAATGACACCAAAATTTGTAGGATACAGAAATAACAGTATTTGCAAAAAATTTTATAGCACTGAATGCATTTAAAAAACCCAACACACATCTAAAATCAATAACCTATGTTTCCACCTTTGGAAACTATGGGGAAAAAGAGCTAGTTAAATTGAAAGGAAGCAGGAAAAAAGAAAAATATTGAAAAAAAAATCTGGAGAAAAAATAAACATCTGAAAAGCTGATTGTACAGCTAGGGCTGGAGTTCACAGACCCATCTAGCCCACTGTTCAGGCTGGGTCACAAACCCTTCACACACAGGTCTATGAGCTTAGGTAACAGGAAAAGGTCCTTGGAGCCATGGGTGAAGAAATAATAGGCTTTATTTCTAGATGCAAGCTCTGCTGACCAGCAGTTCAGAGCCGCTGCCTCACAAACCAAAGAGCACACAAAAAATAGCAACAAGCAAAAGGATACATGGGTGCACATGTGCACTAACTCTACTCCCACACTTGTTTACCAAGGATGTGCTGCACCACATCCAACCAGATGTGAGGCAATGGGGCCTGAATAAAGTACATTTATTTTCCTCACAGATTCTTTAAGAAGATCATTAAATTGATAAGCCTATAACTAAGCTAACTCTAAAGATAGTGAACACAAGACAGAAACTACTAATATCAGAAGTGAAAGAGAGGACATCACTACAGATCCTGTGGACATTAAACAACTGATAAATACTATGAACAACTTCGTGAACACATTTGACAACCTACATGATATGGACCAATTGTTTAAAAGACACAGTTTACCAAAACGCACATACACACAAATACCCAATGTAAACAGGCCTGCATCTGTTTTGAAAATTGAATAAACAAACAATAACATTCAAAACAGAAAGCACCTGGCCTAGAAGTGTTCACAGGAGATCCAAGCCAACATTCTTTTTTTTTTTTAAGGGGATCTCAACCCTTGGCTTGGTGCTGTCAGCACCACACTCAGCCAGTGAGCAAACTGGCCATCCCTATATAGGATCCGAACCCGTGGCCTTGGTGTTATCAGCACCGCACTCCACCGAGTGAGCCATGGGCCGGCCTCAAGCCAACATTTAAGGAAAAGAATATACCAACTCCCTCCAGACTATTGCAGAGAATAGAAAATGAAGTACTTCCCAACTCATCATATGAGGAGAGCATTACCTCAGTACCAAAACCAGACAAAGATATTATAATAGAAAACCACAAACTGCTAACTGTCATGAACATACACGCAAATAAGATCAAGAAAATATTAGCAAACCTTATCCAACAATGTCTAGAGAGAAGTATCCACCATGACCAAGTGGTATTTATCCCAGGTAGGCAAGGGTGGTTCAACATATGAACATCAATTAATGTAATTGATAACATGAAAACACTAAAAAGAAAAAAAAATCACATGATCACATCAACAGATGCAAAAAAGCATTTGAATAAATACAGCATCCACTCCTAAAAATTCTCACTAATCTAAGAATAGAGGGGAACATCACAACTTGATAAAGATTGCCTACAGGAAACTACAGCTAACTTCATCCTTAATGGTGAGAAACTCAAAGCATTCCCAGATAATCAGGAACAAAGTAAGAATGTACCCTCTCGTCCCTCCTCCAACAGCACACTAAAAGTACTGGGTAGTACAATAACACAAGGAAATAAAAGATTTATTACAGGTTGGGAAAGAAATAAATAAAATGTCATTAGTTGCAGATGATATGATTATCTGTGCAAAATATACAAGCAAGTAAATAGAAATCATCCTGGAATTAATTACTGATTACAGCAAGACTGCAGGATACAACATTAATATACAAAAGTCAACCACTTTGCTATACCCCAGCAATGACCAAGTGAAATTTAAAACAAAATACTGTTGACATTAGCAACTCAAAGAGAAAACAGTTGAAAATCATCTACCTTGTAAGAAATTAACATCAAGAATACATTTAAAAAACGCCTACAACAACGAAACAAATAATCTGTTTAAAAAATAAGGAGGGCCGGCCCGGTGGCGCACTAGAGAGTGTGCCGCTTGGGAGCGCGGCGGCGCTCCCGCTGAGGGTTCGGATCCCATGTGGAGACCGGTTCCCACTCACTGGCTGAATGCGGTGTGGGCGCAACACCGAGGGTTGCGATCCCGTTGCCGGTCCCCGGTACGGGCGCGACACTGAGGGTTGTGATCCCGTTACCGGTCAGTAAAAAAGACAAAAACGAAAAAAAAAAAAAAGTAAAGGACTCCAACAGACATTTCTACAAAGATGATATATCAATGCCTAAGAAGCTCCTGAAAAGATGCTTAACATCATTAATCATTAGAGAAATGCAAAACTACAATGAAATATCATTTCACACCTAACAGA